CACCTATCAGAATAGCTATAATTAACAAGACAAAAAATAACAAATATTGGAGAATGATGTGGAGAAAAGGGACCTTTAATACACTGCTGGTGGGAATGCAAACTGGTACAGCCACTATGGAAAGCAGTATGGAGATTTCTCAAAATATTGTACATAGAAATACCATATGAACCAGCTATCCCACTGCTGGGTATGTATCCAAAGAATATGAAATCAATATTACAAAGAGATCTATGCACCCCCATGCTCATTTCAGCATTGTTCACAACAGCCAAGACATGGAAGCAGCCCTAGTGCCCATCAACTGATGAGTGGATAAAGAAGATGTGCTGCATATATATATATATATACACAATGGGATACTACTCAGCCATGAAAAAAGACAAAATCTCCCCATTTGCAACAACATAGGTGGACCTTGAGGATACGGTGTTAAACAAAATAAGCCAGACAGAGAAAGACAAACACCATATGAATTCACTCATGTGAAAGATAAATATATGGATAAAGAGAACAGATTAGTAGTTACCAAAGGGGAAGAGGGTGGGGGATGGCGAAAGGGGTAAAGGGGCACATAGGTATGGTGACGGATAAAAACTAGACTATTGGTGGTGAGCACGATGCAGTCTATACAGAAACTGATATATAATAATGTACACCTGAAGTTACAGAATGTTATAAGCCAATGTAACCTCAAGAAAATTTTTTTTTAAAAGCCCAGAAACAAAACCATGCTTATATGGTCAACTAATCATTGGTGAGGGCTCCAAGAATACACAATGGGGAAAGGACAGCCTCTTCAATAGGTGGTGTTGGGAAAACTGGATGTTCACAAGCAAAAGAATGAAATTGGACACTTATCTTACATCATACACAAAAATCAACTTAAAATGGATTAAGGACTTAAATGTAAGACCTGATGCTATCAAGACCTGTTTCTCCTAGAAGAAAGCATAAGGGAAAAGCTCTTTCACATTAGCCTTGGCAATGATTTTATGGATAGGACACCAAAAGCATAGGCAACAAAAGTAAAAATAAACAAGTGGGACTACATTCAAACTAAGATGCTTCTGTATAGCAAAGGAGACAATCAACAAAATAAAAAAGCAATCTATGGAATGGGAGAAATCCCATTTGCAAACCGTATATCTGATAAGCGGTTATTATACAAAATATATAAAGAACTCATACAATTCAATAGCAAACAAATAACCCGATTTAAAAAATAGACGAAGGACCTGAATAGACATTTTTCCAAAGAAGACATACAAAATGGTCAACAGATACGTGAAAAGGTACTCAACATCACTAATCATCAGGGAAATGCAAATCAAAACCACAACTGAGATATCATCTCAGGCCTGTTAGGATGGCTATTATCAAAAAGACAAGAGATAACAAGTGGTGGCAAAAGTGTGGAGAAAAGGCTACCCTTTACACTGTTGGTGGGAATGTAAATTGGTACAACCATTATGAAAAACAGTATGGAGGTTCCTCAAGAAATTAAAAATAGAACTACCATATGACTCAGCAAAGGAAATGAAATCAGCATCTTGTAAAGATATCTGTACTCCCATGTTCGTTATTCACATGGAAACAACCTAAGTGCTCATTGACAGATGAATGGATTAAAAAAAGTGATCGAATATATATATATATATACATACACACGTAAACATACACATACAACATAGGTTGTTTCTATATGTGTATGGTTGTTTCCGTGTGTGTGTGTGTGTGTGTGTGTGTATACACACATAGAAACATGCACATATCCACAATGGAATATTATTCAGCCATAAGAAAGAAGGAAATCCTACCATTTGCATTTGCAACAATATGGATGAAGCTGGAGGGCTTTATGCTAAGTGAAATAAGTCAGACAGAGAAAGACAATACTGTATGATCTCACTTACATGTAGAATCTAAAAAAACTGAACTTAGAGAAACAGAGAGTAGAATGGTGGTTACCAGGGACTAGGAGTTGGGGGAAATGGGGAGATGTTGGTCAAAGGGTACAAACTTGCGGTTATGTGGTGAATAAGTCCTAGGGAATCTAATGTACGGCATGGTAATTATAGTTAATAATAATTGTATTATGTACTTGAAAATAGCTAAGAGAGTAGATCTTAAGTGTTCTCACCAGAAAAAAAGAAATGGTAACTATGGGAGGTGATGGATGATTATAATAATCATGTCACAATGTATATGTATATTAAATTATCACATTTTACGCCTTTAAAAAATAAAATATAAATAAGTTATAAAATCTTCTCTTTATTGTATTTTCACTATAATGTGTCTCGGTGTGGGTTTTTTCATTTATCCTGATTGGTATATGTTGTACTTTATTTTGGTATTCATGACTTCAATGATTCTGAACATTTCTCATTCATTATATTTTCAAATTTGCTCTCCTCCATTTTCTCTATTATGTTTGTTTAGCTTCTGATTAAATATGTGTTAAACCTTCTCATTCTATTCTCTGTATCTCTTAACCCCTCCATTGTAGTTTTTTTTTTCCTTATCTCACCATTTTTGATTCTGCAGAGTTCTTTATCTTGCAGTTCTTTGATTTTCTTTTCAGGTATATCTACTTTTCTGTTTAACTCATTCATTGATTCTTAACAATTATATCTATATGTATCACCTCTAAACATTTTATTTGTGAGAAAAGCAAGTGGAAATCACTACAACCCCACCATAATGGCAAAAATTAGAAACACCGATAATACCAAGTGACAGTAAGAATGTGGAACAGTAGAGCTCTCATACATTACTGATAGGAGTGTAAATTGGTACAACCATTTTGGAAAAAAATTTGACATTATTTTCTAAAATTGAACAAATGCACATCAAAGAGTCATGCTATGTATATGCAATTCCAATGTTGGTTTTATATACATAGCTGCATTATTCATAATAGCTAAAAAATGAAGACAACCCAAATGTATATCAGCTGATGAATGGATAAATAAAATATGGTATATCCATATGTGTTAATTTGTGAGAGCTGCCATAACAAAATACCACAGACTAAGTGGCTTAGACAACAGAAATTTATTTTCTCACAATTCTGGAGGCTAGAAGTACAAGATCAAGGTGTTGACAGGTTTGGTTTCTTCTGAGGCCTCTCGCCTTGGCTTGCAGATGGCTGCCTTCTCACTGTGTCCCCACATGGTCACCCCTCTGTGTTGTCTATGTCCTAATCTCCTTATAAGGACACCAGTTCATGTTGGATTAGGGCCCACCCATATGACCTCATTTTACCTTAATTTGCTCTTTAAAGACCCTATCTCCAAATACAGTCACATTATAAGGCACTGGGAGTTAGGACATCAACATGTAAATATTGGGTGGTCAAAATTCAGCCCATAACACCATAAAATAGAATATTATTCAGCTACACAAAGAAATGAAGTACTGATACATGTTACAATATGAATTAACTTGAAAAACGTTATGCTTAGTAATATAAGCCAGAAACAAAAGGTTGCATATGGTCTGATTCCCTTTATAAGAACAGGTAATCACAGAGACTAGAAATAGGTAAATCCATAGGTCAGAAAACAGACTCATGGTTGTTAGGGGCTGGGAGGGAGGACAATAAGGAATGACTGCTTAATAAGCATGGGGTTTCCTTTTGGAGTGATAAAAATATTTGGAACTAGATAGAGGTGATTCACAAAATTGTGAATGTACTAAGTGTCATTCAATTGCATACTTTAAAATAGTTAATTTTGTGTTAACATGAATTTCATCTCAATTTTAAAAAGTCAGCCAGACACAAAAGTGGCATACAAAGGTGAGGAGATGTAATGGGGACAATCTACTCTGGTAGGGAAAAGTATTTATGAATGACATTGAATGAAATTAATGGAATGCCAGCATGTAGTGATAGTAAGAGGTAGACTTACTTTTAATTGATGTTATTATTGTTTTTAAGTTCTCTACAAATAACATACCCCCATGGCCTGCACTCCCACAGCCACCATCTTCCCAGTACATCGCTGAAAATAGTATGTGTATGATTTCACTTACAAGGTTTGACCAAAGGCAAAACTAACAGTGATTAAGCATACTAACTTGGATTATAAATATATAAATAAAAGAAAGAAATTGTTGTCCAAAAAGTCAGGATAGTGATACCTCTAGACAAAGATATGGATAGTAGTTTGGAAAGAGTATAACAGACCTCCAGAGTGCTATCAATGTCCTATTTCTTCACCTAGATGGTGGTTTCAAGGGCGTTGTTACAAATGCTTGTGTCTAATTGTCCAAAGTCAGTCTTTGTATTATTTGAATTAAAAATGGTTTTTCATTTGTTAGTAGCAAGTCCTATATCCTCTAAAATATTTACCAATAATAATACACTTCAGATCTTCACCACTGAAAAAGTCAAAATCTGTATCAGGGATAAACAAACTACTGACCGTGGATCAAATCTAGCCTTTGCCTATTTTTATAAATGAATTTTTATTGGAGCATAGTCATATTCTTTATGTATTATTAATGGCTGCTTTTATGCTACAACAGCAGAGTTAAGTAGCTGCAACAGAGACCATATACCCTGCAGAGCCTGAAATATTTATTGTCTTGCCCTTTACAGAAAGATTGCCAATCCTTGACCTAGATCACAATAATAGTTGAAGTAAAAATTAGGATAGATAATGGCCAAATCATCTAATAATTTTGGGGAAAAGAAAGAGCAATATTAGGTTAACCTTTACATTCTAATTTACAAGACAATTACCTAAATCCCCAATTTACTGAGAACTGTGTTTTCTTATCCCCAATGTTATGAAAGAACATCTTTTCCTAGGATCAAGGGATTAAGTTCTAATTCTCTGCCTGCACTTTTCTTAATTGGGAAGGTCTTATTGTACCTTTGTCTTTTGGTGATGGTGATGTATAAACATTGACTATTTTGTTTCATATTTTTGAATAATTAGATAGTTCTTAATATTGTCAACTCTACTTGCCATTTCTGTTTTTTTAAGGAGAAAAAGTTAATGTCAAAGATGTGAAAAATATTGTGGAAGGCATTGGGATAGAATTCACACCTAAAGAATACTTGGAACTGGTGAAAACTCTGCAAGTTGATGGTAAGCATTTCAAATACTTTTAGAGCTTTTGAGGCCTTAAGGTTAGTCCTGTGTGTTTAAGACAACTTAAAAAAACTATACCTATTAGACATCCCAATTCAAAAACAACAAAAAGAATGACCAAGAAATTTTAGCATGACCTTGTTCTTCCTTTGGAAAGTGTAATTTAGTTCTTTCTTTGGGAATCAGCAACGCTATTTTCTTGAATCCTGCCATTGGATATAAAAATTTATATTATTATGTTTGGTTCTACCCTCAGAACTAAAATTTAAGCTGAAAGATATAAGAAAAAAAAGTGAAGGTGGGAGGAATAGGAGAATAGGAGGAAGAAGGAAAAGTCAAAGAAAAGTGAAAAAAAGACATGTTCATATTCCATTATAGTGTTTGCCACTAATTATTGGCTTTGCATTCATTCGGACACAGCACTCAGAGTTTTCTCCATTCCATGGTTTCAAACTCATTGGAGGGCAAAAATCAAAGTTATTTCTAAAGCAAATCATTTAAAAGTATCTTTGTGAAATGATACCTTTGTACTATCTCTCTAAATCTTCATATCACTTTATATGTGATGTCAATTGTGCCTTTTCTTACAGATGATGGAAATATATATGAAAATATATTGCTCGATGGTGTGAAATCTTTCAATGGTAAGAAGCACGATGAGAAGAAAGATAAATAACATTCTCCTGCCTCACACTTGTATTATTGTCTAGTTGTTCTCTTGTGGATCTTACTACCTCTTATATGAATTGGTTCTATATTTATTTTGCTCTTTCAAATATGCATACTGCCTTTTTCAAATAGTCTTTCATTTTGCTACTTGTTAAGTTTGGCTTTTGTAAAATTCATTTGGAAAGCAGATTTAAATCTGGGTCTACATAGAAAATGTGAAGTAAAGAATGGGCAGTTGTTCATGGCATTTCAGTAACTTAACAAACTAAACTGAGCTTTATGCCCTACCCACCAGAAGGAAGTTTTCAATTGTTGTCTCCACCATTATAATTCATTAGAGAATGAGTTTGTGCTTTGTAAGATTGTCCTAAGACCAGGGAAGAATTTACGATTCTAATTCCATTTTGTCTACCTTCTTGCTCTTGAACATGTTGGGTCATTGATATTTTTGCCGACAGCCATGGCACATGGGGATTAATTGAAATTTTCTCATTTAGGGTAGTTGTTAAATCTCCCTTGTATTCATGATTCTTTCCTTAGGTGGGAAGGTTGATGTCAGTAACCTGGAAAACATTTTGGAAAACATGAAAATCAAGTTCCCAGATGAGAAACTTAAAGATTTATCACAAAACCTACCTGTTGATTGTAAGCATCATAGATATGATTAGCCCTTTTAGAGAAATTTAGACTTATAAGCTTATGTATGAGAATTCCTGGAACTAGATCTGCTTTGGTGCTAATACGAGTTTTTAAACCTTAGAGAAGAACCCAGTCCTAAAATAAGAGTGTTTTGATTTGATGTATTTTCATTAATCTCAGGGTGTGTGGTACATGTGCTGGAGTAAGTGATAGGTGACGTCTTTACCTGAAAGAAGCTGAAGGAACCCTTATTACCCATAAAGAAAAGATTGCTAATTTTAGATTAATTACATGATCTAGATATCTTTTAAAAAAATCATGTCACCCAGCTATACATTCCCGTTGGGGAAGTAATAGAGAGGACATGAACACCAGTTGACCCGGGAGCTGGACCTAGGCTATTGGAGGCTCCTCACCTTGACCCCTGTCCTTTGAACTTACATTCTGCCCACCATTTCCACAGTGGGAACCATGTTCAAGGACGTAGACTTGAGAGAGTAATGTGTTGTTGAGACCTTCTGAACGGTGTACGTGACTGAACCCAGTTAAAGCCTCTATATAAACTTTAAGATTCTGTTGGGTGGGTGCAGAGATCTACTTGTCTTGCAGCCGCCCCGGACAAGCCTTGTATGTAATACCTTGCTTATTACACCTGCCACCTACCAATCTGGAGTGGTCTGCCTCTTTCTTCAGGCTATCCCTGCCTTCTGTGTACAGGGGCAGGTACATAGCACCTGTACAGTTTCAGATTTCACCTGGGAAGCTCCCAAGATTGCTAACCAACAATTTCTTTATGCCTTTGTGATATACCAGCTTCCTGATCCCTTCCCCCTGTGTTTTGGCACTGGCTTCCATTATTCCTAGGCTCATTTCTTCCCTTCATTAGGAAGCTTAAACAGCACTGCTTTACTTTCTCTTTAAAATAGCCTTCCAATTTTTTTCACTCTTTTTAACAAGAAATGTACCCCTCATATTCACCAAAAATAATAGTCCCTGAATTTCTCCATTTCCTTCCTGTATGGAACTCTTTTAACTTTACTTCTTTCACTGTCCAACTACTCTCTCAAACTTGCTCTGTAAAACTGCCAACATTTGATCAACTCTGTCATTCAAATCTCCACTTCTATTGCTGAGCCTTGCTAAAGAAAATCGATATAAACTTGCAGATTAGTCCCGCTCCAAATTAATTTCCTCCTGGATAATACAAAGACCTAAGAACATTTTAACTCCATTTTTCCCTTCCCTACATTAATGTTGTTTCATGTCTTTTAATACTATCTTGTTTTCTTTGAACTAGCATAACATTATTAGTAGTAATGTTTTATAAAGCCAGCATTCATTCAGATATACCCACGTTTACCTTTCTTTGTTCTTCATTCTTTCTTTCACCTCACACCTTTCATTTGGGATAACTTTTCTTCTGCCTGAAGTAATTTCCTTTATTAAGGATCTGCTAGTGACAAATACTGGTTTGGGGAGGAAGGAGTTTGGCCTACAAATATCTTTATTTTACCCTTATTCTTGATATTTCTCTGGGTTTAGAAGTCCAGGTAGACAGTTATCTTCTTTCAGCACGTCATTCTACTATTTTCTGCTTTCTAATGTTGCTGATGAGAAGTGATGAGGTCAGCTGTGAATCTATTGGTCCTTGGAGGATACCTTTTTTTTTTTTTTTTTTTGCTTTTAAGACATTTATCTTTGGTTCTGAAGTTTTACTATGATGTGGAAGATAGGAATGGATTTCTTTTCATTTATTCTCCTTGGAATTCATTGTACTTCTTGAGTCTGAAAATGGAATCTTTCATCAGATCTGGAAAATTCACGACCATCATCTCTTCCAATATTGTCTCTATCCTATGAGTCTTTTTTTCTTCTGGAACCCCAAATAAATGTATGTTAAACCTTCTTACTCTATACTCCATGGCACTTAGCCTCTCTTCAGTATTTTCCATATTTTTTCCTTCCTGTGCTCCATTCTGGATAATTTTGCCTGACTCAACTTCCAGTACACTAACTCCTCAACTATGTCTAGCCTCCTATTGTATCTGTTTATTTACTTCTTGGTTTCATTGTCTGTATTCTTTTTGTATTTTGTCTTGTATTCTTTTTGGGCTTCTTTTCTTTTGTATTCTTAATTTCCAGAAATTCTACTTAGTTCTCTTTTGAATCTAGTAGGTCAAGTTTTTCAGTTTTCTGTTCCTTGTGGATATTTTCAAGTTTACATAGTTATATTACAATCTTGGTCTGATAATTCTAATAAGTGAATTGTTTGTGGTTCTTTTTTTCTTTTTCTTTTTTGCTTTCCATTGTTTCTTCTAATTCTTCCTTATGGTTTCCTTCTGTTTGGTTATTTGCTACATGCTGTTCAATGTCATTGAAAAATTACTTGTGAGAATTCTCTGAGACCTGAAATGAAAGTGCATTCCTCCAGAAAGGATTTGTTTTACTTCCTATTCACTTGAGTTTACTGTCTGTCGGGACATTTCAATTATAACCAAAGTCGTAATTTGAAGTTTCTTGAACCACCCAGGAAATGAAAATCTGGGCTGAAAATCCTCACAAGGCCATCAAATTCTCTGCTTTTCCTGTTTTGTTTTGTTTCTTAACTGCACACACAGACACACATGCGTACGCACATACACACACACACACACTGGTCACTGCCGAGGAAATCTTTCCAGCATGGGCATTTCTTCTTTTATTGTATCTTTTATAAATTCCTTTTCTCTGTATTCCTGTACTCTCTATCTGGAGCTTCTATTGATCAGATTTGGACCTGTTGGTTTTCAAGTTGACTGGCTCTTTGTCTTTTTGCTCTTATGTCTCGAAGATTTCCTCAATTTTATCTCCGACCTCTCCTATTTAATTATTTACTTTCTGCTGTTGTATTTTTATTTCCAAGAACTCATTTTTTTATCTGATCGTTTGCTTTGCAGAATATCTTATTGTTATGTTTTGGGTGTAATATTTTCTCAAATTTCTGTGAGAGTGTTAGTTTATTTTATGTTTGTTTTTCCTCCCTACATTGCCTTTATTTCTTCCAGGTTCTTTGTTTGTGTTTATATATTTATTTGCTTAGGTCTCTCTTTTATTTTGGAAACCTTCCTCAAATATCTGGTTATCTTTGCCTCGATTCATCACTAGTGGCATTTAAATGCCTTTTCAAAGCTCTGTCTACATGAGTGGTGCTTGTCAACTGTTAGACTTCTTGGTAAGGTTAATGTAGGGGCCCAGTCTTTTTATTGGGGAATTTCCAAGTGTCAGTATCCAAAGGTCTTTTTTCTGGGGGCCATTTGGATACTCCAGAGAAGAATCTTGCAATCACCTGCCTGATGATTATGTGTCTCGTTATTGGTACTCTCAGAGTAAAATAGAGGAGGAGGCTAGGGATACCACTTCAGCTTATAAACATTCACTTGGTCCCCATTTTCATCCCCTTACCTAACATTTACTGTGCCTAGCTTCCCAGAGTCCAGAGATTCTCTGCTTCCATGTCTCCAGAGAACACATTTCTAGTTTTTAAGGGTGTCAGGGAGGGTAGTGATGGTGGAGTAGAATTTGGAGGAAATGGGAATGAAAGAAGGAGTAGTAACTGGCAGGGTAGGGGAAGGTTGTTAACTTGCCCATGTGTACAGACTTCCAAGCAATTCCTTATGTTCATCCCTATACCTCACCCCGGTACTCTCCACATCTTGAAACGTTCTAGGATTCTTCTATATGAATTATGCCACTTTTCATTAATATTCCCTCATAGACTTTCATAGCCAGATGCAGTGGTCTAGTGGTTAAGATGGGGCATTCTCACTGTCACAGCCCAGGTTTGTTTCCCAGTCAGGTTGTCATACTGTGTCATACTGTGGTGGCTGCATGTTGCTGTGATGCTAAAAGCTATGCCATTGATATTTCAGATTCCAGCAGGGTCACTCATGGTGGACAAGTTTCAGCAGAGCTTCCAGAATCTGGAAAGAAGGACCTGGCCACCCACTTCCAAAACAATTGGCCATAAAAATCCTCTGAATAGCAGTGGAGCATTGTCGAGTATAGTGACATAGGATGAGAGAATGGTTCAAAAAGACTTAGCAGGGTTCTTCTCTGCTGTTACACAGGGTCGCTAGGAGTTGGAATCGACTCAACAGCACTGACAGCATAGGCTTTCATGTTATAATTTCCTCAGCTCTGCTAAATTAACTACCACTTCCTTGCTTGGATTTTAATTCCCAAATATTTTTGAAGTCTCTTTTTCACTGGTATCTCCTCTCCCATATTGTTGTCTTTGTAAATGTGAACATTTACTATTCCTTTCCTATCATTTTAGTGAGATTTCCAAGAAGGGGAGGAAATAAATACTTGCAGATAGTAAAAAACATTTTGAAAAACTACCCCAGCCAACAAAGTGATCAAACTGTTTTTTTTTTTTTTGAGAAAAGAATTAAATAACTGAAATTTAGACTGAGATCCCAAGTTGAAAATTGAGAGGTGAGAAGCTATTGAGTTTAATTCTCAGGCTAGAGATGTCCTCATTAGGTACATATGGAGCAAAGATAAGCATTTATAAACCCATTTCTAATAAATAGTACTCTGCATCCCTCAATGATTTCCATTATTTTCACATACGTGATTAGCTGTTATGCCTTTGGTGTAGACCCTGTGAAACTAGCACAAATTTTCCTTGCTATCTTAGAATAAAAAATAAAAGAGATGTCTGGAAGCATGTTCTGATAGAGAAGCTGAAAGAAAAATCAAAAATTTCTTCTCACCTAGATTTAGTGAAATCAGTAATAAATGAAAGCTCTGTGAGGACAGGAATCATGTCACATGTCTCCCATACTGCTCATTATTGTATCCCCTAGTGCCTAGCACAATGCATTCAGATATTTGATACTCTGTAAATGTTTGTTGAATGAATGAGAAGCTGAATTATTTAGATCATATGTTTATTTAGCCACTATTCAAGACTCTCAACAAGGACTTTCCAGTTGTGTTAATCAATAGGTGTTAACTGATAGTTATCACCGATATGGAAGTTTTATGTGAAATACATTGTGCTATATGTAGTAAGGGCCCACAAAGTGCAAATCTGCTAGTTAAATGTATGGAGATGGTGAACTGGAAACTATCCCCAGGGAAGAATGGAATTCCATAATAGTAAATAGTGTATTCTTTTTTTGTAAGAAAATACCAATAATTTGCATAGTTTCTGGTTTTTTTCTTACCCTAAAATATACTTCATCTGCAATTTTGGAAAAATATACTGATTTAAGAGCTAGTTCTGTCATTATAATACATTCCATTCTACTGTTTAATTTTAAAGTGTTTAATATTGCTATGTGCAAAGCCTTAAGCTACTTGCTGAGTTAGGATGTCTGGATAGGATATAGAATAAAGAGATAAATTCTTTTCATTTAAGGCACTCACAATTTTTTAGTATGTAATGAACATGTCTACTAGAAAAAAAAATGCGATAGATTAAGCTAACTTGAGAGTGTCTCCCATACTGGGAGAGTGTTAAATTAGGAAATTGAAACTTTTTACTCTTGTTCCTGGGATCTAGTTTGGTAGATAGTGTGACGTGAAGAGAGCATACCTAAGGAGGGAGACATTCCACAGTGTGTAGGGGTTGAGAGGAGAGAATAAAGAAAGAAATTAATAGTTAAGATTCTTAGAGAGTAGTTTTCCCTGTTTCATACTCATCTGTGTATGTCATTAGGATATAATTCAGCAACAAATCATAAAGAAAAAATCAATTCTTTTGCTCTATTTAACACTCTTTTTGAATCAGTACACAATTACGTCTGTCTGAATTGTGGCTTATTTTTTAGCTTCGGGCATGACTGATCTGCATAAACTGCTAAAAGAAATAAAGAAATTCACAGGTGAGCAAGACGTTTTGTGAAGAGATGTAAAATTAAAATGCAAATACTTCACATTCACATGCATATTTAAACCTGTGTTTTCTTATTCTATAATTGACGTTCAACTTCTAATTTTTTAATGATTAAAGTTTAATTCTAATGACACGAAGATTACATTGGATTATTTATGTTTTGGCAAAAATGTTGTGGTGCCAAGTTGTGGTAACAAGTTTTATATTCTCTGAAACTTCGATTTTATTTGGTAATTCATTTCAAAAGGCAATATACCTGTTCATTCATTCACAATATTTACCTAGCATCCACTGTAACCCAGTAAATGTTAAGGTAAAACATTGACAGGAATACAAATAATGTGGTCAGTGAGGATAATTTCATAATTCAGGTAAAGCAAAGAGTAACACAGATTTTACCTGATGGTAATACAGTTAGATTAGGCAGCTGCCTATACATAACTTAGATCACTTTGCCTCCTATATATCCCTTTACTGTGGGCTCAGTCAACTTCTCTGAGGTCATTAAGAGCATTAGAAATAAATATTTTATTTAGAATAAAAATGGGGCCAGCCCGGGGGCAGAGTGGTTAAGTTTGCGTGCTCAGCTTCTGAGGCCCAGGGTTTCACTGGTTTGAATCCTGGGTGTGGACATGGCACCACTCATCAGGCCATGCTGAGGTGGCGTCCCACATGCCACAACTAGAAGGACCCACAACTAAAATATGCAAATATGTACTGGGGGGATTTGGGGAGAAAAAGCAGGAAAAAAAAGAATTACAGAAATAACTTCTGAAAACTGTAGATAATCCTGTACAAACTTAGACACTTCATCATTTGGAGTCAGTAGGCAATTCTCATCTGTTACCATTCCCATCTTTTAAAGGAGGAAAAGTTGAAGCCAAAAACATACGCAAAGCTCTGGGGAACATGGGAATAGAGCTCTCAAAAAGGGAACTCTGGGAGCTGTTGAAAATATTGCCCATTACTGGTAGGTATTTTATGTACTACCATGTATGTATCTCTGTGCTGGTGTCAACTTCAGTGTGAGTACATCATAAAAATGGACCCATCTGGTTTCCTATAAAAATATAAAAGGCAAAAAGATCAACCTTTAGTTGTAAAGAAATTATGCCTTTGACATTTAGGTTTATAGTTTTGAGAGGCTATGATATCTTCAAACCTGAGTCCTGCCATTAAGAGTATCATTACTTGGAGATAAATGAAGCTTAAGCAGGGCAAAGAGAAAAAGAAGTTAAATTAGCAAGTAGTAGAGGAAGGAAAGGGAGAACTCAGAGTGGGAAAGGAGGTCTGTCTGTTTCAGTGTAGAAGAATGGATAGACTGTCCACATTAAGAATGTTCTCTATCTTAGTTTTGATCTTATTTATGAAGAGATATGTGAGCATGGGAAATGTAGGAGTATAACCTCAGAAGGCAAATTTTTTAAGTACATAATTATGAAATTATGCTCTTGCTACTCTTTTTTTGACTGTCCATATAACTTTTTCTTTGACCTTAAATGTGTCTTATTTTACAGCTGATGGAAAGGTAGAGAAAAATATATTACTCGATCATATAAAAGCTTTTCCTGGTAAGTGAGAATCCCAATAAGAAAGCAAGTAAAACTAAGATCTGCAGACTTTACCTTAACTTTTAAAAGACCTTATCATTACACAGTAATTAGGTTATTGATCTTATTATCCCATTAGCCTATAGGTCTACTTTAGATGCAACTACATCTAATGTGATAATTTGTAGTTCTGACACTGAAAAAGTTTCAAAATGTATTTGCTATCCAGAGCTCTAGTTATTGTCTAGCATAATTCATCAGGTTCACCTAAAAAAATATATATGTAATTTATAATATATAATAGTAGTATATGGAATTAATATATAAATAAAATTGTATATAATTTGCATAAATATAATTAAGTTTCTTCTAAAGATATCTTTCCTGCAAACTATAGAAAGGACCTCTGACGTGAGATTGGCAGAATATGTTCTTTTCCTGGCTTCCACAATAAGTCTCTATTATGGAACGTATTGAACATTTCCACATGTAACCTTAAACAGGTTTTTTTAGATTATTGTGCAGTGGATTTGTTCTATACAATTGCAATTGGTATGTGAATATAACCAGTATTTTTCTTAGATATAAGTTGCTATTTTTTATCACTTCCTTCTTCCCTAAGGTAGTAAGTGTCATGTCTCTAAAATGGAAACTATCCTGGAAAACATGGGTTATGAGCTGGAGGATGAGGAAGTTGAGGACCTGCGGAACCACTTGCCAACTGAGGGTGAGCATGTCATTGTGCCTTTAGGGAAACTGAGCTTCTCTAAGGAAACTTCCATATGTTTTCATATGGAAAAATCTATTAAATCAGTTATTAATACTTAAATTATAGATCAATAATCTGTTAAACAGGGACTCCCACCTGCAGGGCTAAACTCTGATGCCGGTGAGGAAATTGACAGACCTAAGAAGCAGGTAGAGAAATGAAACAAAGAATATTTTAAGGGAAAATAAAGTCAAAGAAGAAATTTAAAAATCAATTAGGAAAAAAAAGGTAAAAATCCCTTAAATAATCATAAAGTGTAACTACACTACAGGAAGGAACATATAATAGCAGAAAAGACAATATGCATGTTCTGGGTATTCCGGGTAGCCTAACCGTTCCAACCATTCTGGCTTTAACTAATAAATCTCTAATATAAAATGGGTGCTAGGTGGAGATTTCGGAAGTATTCCTGGTGGCCTACAGGGTTTAATCCGTTCTATCTTAATATTAAGCCTTAATAGCCATAATAAAAGATTTGTTTATAGTTTTGAGAGATAATGGAGTCTTATTTTAAGATTAGGTTCTAAAGTCGGTTTAGAAATTAAATACATCAAGAAACTCCACTGTATATAATAAATAAATTAATTAAATATTTATACACACATGTAGAAGAGTGTCGGGGCAAGGCTGAGAGAACTTGAAGACAGGCTATGATTTGTAGGAATAAAGGAGAAGAGTAGGCATTTCTCTTTACTGTAGTCCTCTAATTCAGCCAAAAGCCAACACAGGAGTAAGGTTTACTGGGAATCTGGGGTGGCATGGCTGGTATATTCTACCCTTATAGAGCAGAAATGAACACCAATGACAAGAGGAGAAAATGTATCCTTGGACCAGGATTTCTTAGATATATGGAGGTAGCAGAGGAAGGGTGAAGTGAAGGAAGAAGAAACTAGCCTTTTGACCATCCACCAGAATGTCTCCCTTAAACTGATATATTTTAAAGCATTAAAATAATTTGTTAAAAAAGAAAAATGAATTTACGGATAAAAGATAATGTAGGGGTTTTTTTGAAGATAATAGAGATTGTTTAATAAAAGACTAAGATAAATCCTTTCCCTAGCTGAAACTATATAAAGGTGCTTGGTGATATCATAAACAATTAAGACAAAGTTGAACTGCTTCCTGAGGGATTGAAGCATAGATGGAGACTGACTCCGTCTGACTGACTGACTCCAACAGCTACAGAATGACATTCCTAAATATTACAGTGTATCCTGTAGCTCTGAGATGATGAATGATATATTGATTTAAAAGCAAATTCTCTAAGATTCTCACTGCACTATAAATGTGTATCACATCTATCTTCTTTCTGATCTGAAGCATACAAATTTAGAATTTTATGGATAGTCTTGCTTTATTTAATATGTCTTATCACTGGAAATATTAATATAAATCAGGTCGCTCTTACCCACTTAAACACATTTTGCTAGACTACTAGCACAAAATACTATTAAGAAAATTTAATTAAAAGGAACTAAGAATTGTGTATTAATTAAATAGCTAATCTAGGAAACTGGCAATCCTCTTTCTCCTATTCTCATGATACCATATATCAGGTCATATAAACTAATTATCTGTATTGAGGTAACAATAGATAATAATTATCAAGAATTTTTTAAATTGAGATATAATTGACATATAACATTGTGTAAATTTAAAATATAGAACATGTTGATTTGATAGATTTATATATTGCAGTATGATCACCACCATGGGGTTAGCTAACACTTCTATCATGTCACATAATTATCATTTCTTTTTTGTGGTAAGAAAAGTTAAGATCTAGTCTCTTAGCAACTTTGAAATTTATAATACTGTATTGTTGATCATAGTCACTATGCTGTGCATTAGACCTGCAGAACTTATTCATCTTCTAGTTGCAAGTTTGTACCCTTTAACAACATCTCCCTAATTCCCCAATTCCCCAGCCCCTGGTAACCACCATTCTACTCTGTTTCTGTGAGTTTGGCTTTTTTTGATTCCACGTATAAGATGTCATCCAATATTTACTTTTGTCTGTCTTATCTCATTTAGCATAATACCCTCAAGGTCCATCAGTGTTGTCACAAATGACAAGATTTTTTCCCTTCTCACAGCTGAATAATATTCAATTGTCTATGTATACTACATATTCTTTATCCATTCATCAGTTGACAGACATGTAGGCTGATTCCATATTTTGGCTATTGTGAATAATGCTGCAATAAACATGGGAGTACAGATATCTATTCAATATCCTGTTTTCATTTCCTTTGGATATATACTCAGAAGAGAGAGATGAGTCCCCTACTATTATTGTATTGTTGTCTATTTCTCCCTTCAGATCTGTTAGTATTTGCTTAATATATTTAGGTGCTCTGATGTTGGGAGTGTACATATTTATAAATGTTATATCCTCTTAATGAATTTATCCCTTTACTATTATATAATGACTTCTTTCATCTCTTGTTACTGTTTTTGGCTTAAAGTCTATTTTGTCTCATGTACGTATAGCTACCCCCCTCTTTCTTTTGCTTTCCACTAGCATGGAATATGCTTTTTCCATCCCTTCACTTTGAGCCTAGGTGTATCGTTAAAGCTGAAGTGAGTGTCTTGTAGGCAGCATATAGTTGGATCTTGTTTTTTTATCCATCCAGCCACTCTTTGCCTTTTGGTTGGTGAATTCAAGCCATTTACAGTTAGAGTAATTATTGAGATGTAAGGACTTACTAATGTCATCTTTTTTTAAGATTGGCACCTGAGCTAACGTCTGTTGCCAGTCTTCTTTTTTTCTTCTTCTCCTCAAAGCCCCCCAGTACATAGTTGCATATTCTAGTTGTAGGTCCTTCTGGTTGTGCTATGTGCAACACCACCTCAGCATGGCTTGATGAGTGGTGCCATGTCCATGCCCAGGATCCGAACCTGCGAAAACTTGGGCCGCCAAAGCGGAGCACGCAAACTTAAGCACTCAGCCACATTGCCAGCCCCTAATGCCATCTTATTAATTGCTGGTTGTTTTGTCATTCCATTGTTTCTTTTTCCCTCTGTTTCTGCCTACCTTTGTGAATTGGTGATTCTCCTCCCCTTAACTTTTGTGAATCTACTCTAGGTTTTTGTTTTGTGGTTATCACGAGGCTTACATAGAACATCTTATAAATTAAAACAGTCCATTTTAAGTTGATAGCAACTTAATTTCAATTGCATACAAAAGCTCTACCCTATTACTTCCCTCCTTTTATGGTTTTTTTCTTTATTTGTTTCTTTTGGGGGAAGATTAGCCCTGAGCTAATATCTGCCACCAATCCTCCTCATTTTGCTCAGGAAGATTGGCTCTGAGCTAACGTCTCTGTCCATCTTCCTCTATTTTAAATGTGGGATGCCTGCCACAACATAGCTTGATAAGCAGTGTGTAGGTCCGCATCCAGGATCTGAACAAGCGGACCCCTGGGCCACCAAAACAGAGCACACTAACTCAACTGCTGGGCCACCAGGCCAGCCCCATTTTATGTTTTTGATGTCACAATTTACCTCTTTATTTATTGTGTGTTCATTAGCAAATTATGGTAGTTATAGTTACTTTACTACTCTTTTTTCTTTAACCTTTATACAATAGTTAAGTGGTTAACATACCATCATATTACAAAATTAGAGTTTTCTAAATCTATTTACCTTTACCATGATGTTGTATATTTTCATATGTTTTCACTTTACTAATTGATGTCTTTTCATTTCTGCCCGAAGAACTCTTTTCAGCATTTCTTGCAAAGCAGGTCTAGTGGTGATGAACTCTCTCAGCTTTTGTTTGTCTGGGAAAGTCTTTATTTCTCCTTCATATTTAAAGGTTAACTTGCCAGATAAAGTATTCTTTCCCAGAATTTTTTTTCTTTCAACACTTAATCTGTTATTCCACTCTATCCTGGCCTTTAGGGTTTCTGCTGAGATGGCCTCTGATAGCCTAATGGGGGTTCCTTCGTAGATTACAATCCTTTGTTCTATTGCTGCTTTTAGGATTCTCTCTTTGTCTTTGATTTTTGACAGTTGCATTATAATATGTCTTAGAGAAAGTCACTTTTCATTGAGATAATGGGGAGATCTATTAGTTTCATGAGCTTGGATATCCAAGTCTCTCCCAAGATTTGGAAAGTTATCAGCAACTTTTTCTTTAAAGAGACTTTCTGGGGGCTGGCCCCGTGGCCGAGTGGTTAAGTTCGCGCGCTCCACTGCAGGTGGCCCAGTGTTTCGTTGGTTCGAATCCTGGGCGCGGACATGGCACTGCTCATCAAACCACGCTGAGGCGGCGTCCCACATGCCACAACTAGAAGGACCCACAATGAAGACTACACAACTATGTACTGGGGGGCTTTGGGGAGAAAAAGGAAAAAAATGAAATCTTAAAAAAAAATAAATAAATAAATAAATAAATAAATAAAGAGACTTTCTGCCCCCTTCTCCCTCTCTTCTCCTTCTGGAATTCCAATTATTCTAATATTTGTCCTTTTGACGATATCCCATACATCACTTAGGCTTGATTTGCTCTTTTTCGTCCTTTTTTCTTTCTCCTCTGACTGGGTCATTTCAAAGTTCCTACCCTCTGGCTCACTGATTCTATCTTCTGTTTGGTCTAATCTACTGTAGATGATCTCTATTGCATTTTGTATTTTATTCATTGAATTCCTCAGCTCCAGAATTTCCGTTCGGTTCTTTTTTATGATTCCTATCTCTTTGTTTAATTTCTCATTTTGTTCACATATTGTTTTCTTGATTTTTTTGAATTGTCTCTCTGTGTTTTCTTGTAGTTCATTGAGTTCCCTCAAAACAGCTTTTGATTTCTTGATCAGCTAAATCACAAGATTCTGTGCCTTTGAATTTGGTTACTGGAGGATTATTGTTATCACTTGATGGTAACATGTTTCCTTGATTCCTCATGTTCCTTGAAGTTTTACCTTGCTGGTTTCACATTTGAAGTAGCAGTCACCTCCTCAAATCTTTACTAGTTGTCTTCAGCTAGGAGATATTTTTTGTTGGTCTTGCTTATGTCTGAGCCTTTCTCCAACATTGTATGGATACACTTAACTCCACACTTCTTGCTCCCTTTTGCGGCAGAATTCTTAAGCTTGTATGTCTTCTCTGGTTCTTACAACACACCAGGCTGGCTGCTGGAAACCTCTCTTTTGTTTTCCAGAAGGTGGTACTATAGGTCAAGTGTGTGGTTTCTCCCTTGCCCACAGACCCTGTCATATTTTCTGAGGGCACTTCCTGTTTACTGGAGCTCACTCACCACTGCACTCAGGAGTGTGCAAAAGGAACTTGCCACAGAGTCGGGGGGAGGTGAGGGTTTAGCACTCAGGGCATTGGGAGTCTCCACAGGCCAAGTGTGGGGTTTCGCAGGTGAAGTTCTCCCAGCAGCTCATGGACAGGTTTCCTGCTGGAGTCCTGAAGGCAGTCATCAGAAACTGCACCCCTCTAAGGTGCTTAGATATTTTATCTGCCTCCTTGCTGATGTCCTCCCTCCCCCCAGGAGGTCCCACCTCAACACTCTGGGTGCTGCAAGAGAGACACAGGTTCTCTAGCCGTATTCCACACAGCTGGGGTAGCTGGGCAATCACTCCTAGCTCCCTTTTACCCCTGCAGGAAAGATTTCTACCAGCTAGTTCAGTCCTGCACTGAGCTGCCTTGGAGGAGGGGTGGCACTTGCAAAGTTCCCCTTACCCTCTCCAATGCTCCAAACTCGTTTTTTTTTTTTGCTCTAATGGAATGCTAGAATCTCTCCTCAAGAAAGTTAGACTTCCTACAAAGGCCCTCTCATCCATGGGTGTCTGCTCAAGTAAGCACTCTCCTGGTTTTCCCTGACCACAGCCAAGAGGGGCTGTGGCCAGTTCTCAAGCTCCTGCTGGTTCTGCAGCCCATACTAAGGTCTGTCTGCCTATTATCCAATGCAAATGTGGGCAAGAGTCCTACAGGGTTGTTTGGTGTATGATGCTGGATCCCACAATTCCCACAGAGGTACTTTTGTTCATGGATGAATGCAAAATTTAGTTGTCAAAAATAGGGCACAAAAAGGAAAGAGGGGACAAAAAGAGAGACAAAAATGACAAAAACAACTCTTCAAAGTAGGTTGTTATCCTAGTGTCTCTGGTGTGGAAATTGAGGGTCAGTCACAGAAGTCAATTGATTTGCCTAAGGCCACCTGACTGCTAAATGGCAGAGTGAAGATTTGAACCCTACAGAAGCCTAGATAGAAGGTTTATATAACTTCAAAGTTTTGCCCTTTCTATTAAATAATACTACCTTGTACAAGAGAGGTAAGCAATGCCACATAGACTATGATATGAATTGTACCCTCAGGGGGCTGTGTGATGTAGCCCTAGAAATGAGATTTTCAATCGGTAAGTACACAAATCAAATGAAGGAGTCAGCAAAGCTGGAAATCTTGGTGCCCATGGAGTTGGAATGTGGAAGTAGCCAGCTACCATATTTTAGGTAGGTGAATACATTGGTATTACAGTATGTATTGCTTTTAAATCCTTTAATAGTAAGGTGATCAAACATCAGAGTACTCCTGGATTCTAAAGTACAGCAGGCCAAGTGGAAAGCAAGTCAAGCACTGCTTTTAAAACTTATTAGCACCATTGTGTATAGAATTTGATATTTTATACTATAATTTCTTCTTCTATGCTATATTTTATTATATTTAAAACTTCATTCTTCAATTCCATGCTCATCTGGATGCATTTATAGAACAAATCTGGGTAAACTTCTGAATTTCAGTGTTTTGTTCCAGAATGTAAGATCTTTATAAAGTTTTCTGGGTCTAAGTCATTATGGCTGGGTCTCATTCGTACCTTATCTTACAGATGAAAAAGTTAAACTGAATCTGCTCATGGAAAATGCAGAATCATTCAGAGGTGAGTGAAAGGTGTTAGGGAAAAAATCATTGTAAATAGCAATATTCTGATGCCTCTCTGTTATGCTTTTAAATATTTTATTCCCATCATACTGACATGGTTAGTCCTTTTAGTACATTAATGGTATCTTTTATGCAGTGATCCTTATTCATTTGGGGTTGTATACTTTTTGAGCAAAATGACTAAATTATTATATCTGGTGAAGTATTCTATATTCACTGGATTTTTTTTTCAATAATGCACATCAACTTTCCATTGTTTAAACAGCCAAAAAGCTGTGTTACCACAATAATTGGCAAGATAAAACATTGGCCTAACTCTTTTTATGAATAACTTATCACACAGGCAAATAAAAAGTAATATGGATGCCGTCTTTACAGAATTATTTATGTAATAATTTATACAAGTCAGGCTAGGCCTTTATACAATCCCCATTTCAAAGTATTGATTTATCTCATTTTTATTAGAACACTCAAAAAGTATTTTTTCCTCTGTAGAATTATGAGATTGATTTCTGTTTCTGACATCCTGTCGAGTCTTGTCTCAGCATTTTGACCAACCCTGCTCTTAATCCAGCAGTTAAACTTAGATGACATTCATAATTTAGAATCATTCATCACTCTTAAATTTTTCATCCGCCATCATTTCCATCTTTTCAAAGGAATGAAGGTTAATATCAATGAAGTCAATGATGTTTTGAAAAACAAAGGGATAGAACTAACACCTAAGGAACGCTGGAAGCTGCTAAAAACTCTGCCAGTTACTTGTGAGCATTTCTGATACTGCTTTGGCCTTCAGGGGAAATTAGTCTAAGTGTATATTGTTGGGGTAGGTGGGGAATCATTAAACATTTATCGGATGTATATTTATATTCAACATATTTATTGAGCACTTCCTAGGTCACAGGATTAGAGACAAAGTCCTTGCCCTCCTGGAGGCTGGTGTAGGAGGTGGGATTACTCTATTGGGATTGATCTTGAGAACTTCATAAATGAATAAAGATTTTTAAATTGATAAATTTTAATTTAGGATATTAACCTAAAATGTCTGAGTCCTAAAGAATAAAGAGAAAGAAGGGGGGACGAAAGAGAGAATGTTAGGTAAAAAGGTTCAAGTCAGAAACAAAGTTTCAGCATAGTAAAATGGGTAAATTTAGAACTTTCTCTACTCCTTTACTTTGTTATTAAATCCGTAAGGCAAATCATGTAACATTATTGTCTTTATAAAATAGTCTGTACTCTTGTTATGAATTACTGTATCACTTTCTCTATGACATCAATTATGACTTCTCTTATAGCTGATGGAAAAGTGTATTACAATCGGTTGCTAGATGGTTTAAAGACTTTCCCAGGTGAGTGATAAGCATAATAAGTAGTCAAGCAAAAATGAGATCTTTAAGCTTTGTATTTCCTTTCGGAAGTCCCTTTAGGTACTTACTGATAACAATAGCTAATTTCTCCCGAGTGTGGTGCCAGGCGCTATTCTAAATACTTTACATTTATTAACTCATTTAATTCTCACAGAAATCCTATGAGGTAGATACTTATCACCATTTTACAGATGAGAGATGTTAACTCACTTGCCTAAGGTCACACAGTTTGAACTTAGGAAAAGTCAGGATCTGAATACACATTCTTAATCACATTGTTATATTTAAAAATTTGGTTAACATTTTTTATTCCTCTTTATGGCTTATAATTCAAGTTCAGATAACCGCTAAGTTTGTGGAGATAATTTACAATGTTACAATGGCAGATTTCAAACTCAGTAGCCAGAATTATGGTTACTGTTTCTCACATATTCCTCCCCTATGACTAGTAAATGAATAATGAATAATAAACCTCATTCATTTTCTTTGCTTTAGATGTCTACAACAAATTTTAGCAAAGTGTGTTGTAACGTGTATAATACACAGGAGACTTTTTTCCTCACATTCCCCACCCCTATCCCCTGCCACCTTCGTTTTATGTTTTGTTGAACATCTGCATTACAACTTTGCTTTTCTCCCTCCCGTTGAAGTTTGGTGCATAGATTCAACTAGAATTTTTTAAATTTGAGGCATAATTTCAAATTTTTCTTCTTTCATCTCTTTCTTTATTAAGGAGGGAAAGTTTTCAAAAATAAACTAGAAACCATTCTAGAAGACTTGAACTATAAACTTGAAAAGAAAGAAATGAAAGATCTACAGAACCATTTGAAAACTGACAGTGAGTATTTAATTTACCACTTACCACTTCCTTTCAGAAGAACCCATGAAGTCTTCCTGTGGAATCTCAAAGTGTTCTTATCCCATTTCGTTTAGAAAGTTAGAAGTACTTTTAGAGTTATAATCCTCAAAGATGAGAAATATGGCTTCTCAATATTGTCAGAGGACAAATAAAGGCACTAGTAGATTTAGGTTTAGCTAGGAAAAACAAATGCTTCTGAAGAAAATAACAGAAGTTATTGAAATTGATGTTGGAAAAGGTCAGAGATTGACAAAACCAAGTGAGATGGTAAAAAGGGCTTGGACTTGTTTGACAAGTAACATACAAATAGAGGTGATCATATTTTCATTTAACAAATATGAGGTGAATGTCAGGTTGGGTTGAAATAGAGGGTCAATGATATCTGACTTGAGACCAATAATATGGCACCAGACAGGCATCTTTTTACCTGAAAAGGACCATTTAGGAAAAGAATTAAAGATCTAATTTAGCATGTTAAAACATCCTCTTTAGAATTCTATAAGGTAGTTGAATACAAGAAAAGCAGTAAAAAATCAACAATTTGAACCAGCCCTGATGACCTAGTGGTTAAAGTTCAGTGCTCTCTGCTTTGGTGGCCTGGGTTCAGTTCCCAGTCACAGAACCACACCACTCGTCTTTCAGTAGCCATGCTGTGGCAGCAGCTCACATAGAAGAACTAGAAGGACTTACAACTAGAATGTACAAATATGTACTAGAGCTTTGGAGAGGAAAAAAGAGAGAAGGAAGAATGGCAACATATGTTGGCTCCGGTTGAATCTTTCTCAGAAAAAAAAATCAACAAATTTCCTCTGTGTAAGCGATGACAACTTAGGAAATTTCATGGGAAAAGGTGATCCCATTCCCAATAGTGATAAATATTTGTCTATATCCAATTTATGCTTTATATTTCAGGTAATGGGAAGATTTCACTGAACTCCCTTATGAATATAGTAAATTTATTTTCTGGTGAGTGAGAAGTAATGATGAAAAGATATAAAATCAGGATCTTTTGCTGTATGTACATGTCATATTTCAATTGTATATCCAAGTATTCTGCAATTGCACGCAAGCCTCATTTTACCAATTGATGGTAAAATTGGTAAATTTTACCAATATACCAATTGGTGTACAAAATATACCAATTTTACCAATTGATATATTGATGACATGTTTGTTTTTAAGAATACAGATGGACTTTTTATTACCTGTGGTTTTAGAAGTATCATTTTTTTAAGAAGTCTATTTTATTATAGGCTGTTTGGCTTGTCTCCATTGTTTTTAGAGCATTAATGAAAGCATTCCTTTGACGAGGCTTAAAGGAAACATGTTCTATTTTAACTCCTTCTTGTGATGCTCTGCAGTTAGATGAGCCTCATTGTGTTCTTGTTCTTCTGCAGTTATATCTCTAGCAAGTTCAGATACTGCTGTTTTATGATAATTTTTTAAATTTAAAAGTATGTATGAAAATGTTCACTTATCATGTTTCCCATCTTTTTAAAGGTGGTAAGATTAATGCCAGTGACACACAACTTTATCTGGAAAATGTGGGTATTGAATTAACGAAGAAAGAAAGCAACGAACTACTGAGCATAGTGCCGATGGATGGTAAGCATTTTGGACTTGCAGTGAATTTCAGAGAATCTCGGGCTTATGAGTTATGTGCATAAAATTCTAACAGAATAACTGTTTAAAGTCTTATTAAAAATTGAGAGAGGCAAGGGAGCCAGCCCTGTGGCTGAGGGGTTAAGTTCACATGCTGCTTCAGTAGCCGGGAGTTCGCAAGTTCGGATCCTGGGCATGGACCTATGCACCGCTCATCAAGCCATGCTGTAGCGGCATCCCATGTAGAAAAACTGGAATGACCTTACAACTAGGATATACAACTATGTACTGGGCTTTGGGGAGAAAAAGAAAAAAAGAGGAAGATTGACAACAGATGTTAGCTCAGGGCCAATCTTTCTCACATGCACACACAAAAATTGAGAGAGGTGGGGCCACCCCATAGCCAAGTGGTTAAAGTCCACACACACCACTTCAGTGGTCCAGGTTCATGGGTTCAGATCCTGGGCATGGCCCTACTCCACTCATTGGCCATGCTTTGGAGGCATCACATGTACAGAGGAGAGGCAGATTGACAGGAATGTTAGTTAGCTCAGGGCTAATCTTCCTCAAGTGAAAAAAAAGAGGAGGATTGGCAATGGATGTTAGCTCAGGGAAAATCTTCCTCACCAAAGAAAAAAATTGAGAGAAGTGACATCAGCAACACGGCACATAAGTGTTCCTCCTTTTTATCCCGCTTTTTAGTCAATGAATTAGACATCCAGACATGAAGAAAAACACCTTTGTGGTTATTTGGGACCTAGTTTACTCCAAAGGACCTGGGAGGAGTCTCGCCCACCAGTGTAACTAGTAGAGACACACAACTTCAATATGGCCTGTAGAACCAGTAGAGCCAGAAAAATTGTATAGACCTCTCTCGTTGTTGTCAGGCAAAAATTGAGTAAGTGCTGACCTGGGCAGGCACTCACACACCAGAGAGAACTTGCTGATGTCCAGCCTTCCTGGGGGAGACTCTAGCATGTCATTAAAGAAAAAAAAGAAAGAAAAGTACGAGTTTGGTCGCAGTGGAGGCAGTAAAAGAAACTTTCCCTGTGCCACCCCTCCCCTAAGGAAATACTGCACAGGGTTGATTTATCCTGCAGTGGTGATCTCTCCCACAGGAGAAAAGGAAAATGATGAGTGAGTGTTTGGCTACCCCAGTGGGGCAGTCTGGCTGGAGAAACTCAGTTTTCTCCACCAGCACCTGGAGTACTAAGTTGGGAGCTCTATGACTGGGGGACAGAGAGGATATTGGGAAAGAGGCAAATAAGAATTTCAAATCGTTCTAAAAGGATTGCACTCATGAGTGAGAAGTCCACTCATGAGCCTCTGAGAGTACCACACCAAGGATCTCCCTACCAGGTTCTCAGGCATCTCCAATGCCCAAGTGCTAAACCCACACCTCCCCCAACTCTGCTGCCAGGTTCATGTGCATGGAGGTCCAAGTGCATCCTCCAGAGCAAGCTTTGGTAGACAGGGAGCATGCTCAGAAAACAAGGGACAGTCAGTGGGCAAGGGAAAAACCACCAACTTGAGCTATAGCACCACCTACTAGAAAACCAAGATTTCCAATAGCCAAGCTGTGAATTATAAGAACAAGAGAAGATATAAAAAGCTTAAAATTTGGCCACAAGAGGGAGCAAGAAGAGTGGAGCAGGAATACCCTCACGAAGACAGAGGTAAAATTCAGATGACAGCACCATAGAACATAACACTAGATCTGAAAGCAACAGGCAAAGCATTAAGGAGGTGTCTGCTACTTCAAATGCTAAAACAGCAACACATAACTACAGGAATATGAAAAATTAAGGAAATATGGCATCACACACACAAAAAGAAGATAATTCTCCTGCGACTGGTCTCAAAGGCATGGATATTGTGATCTAACTGGTAAAAATTCAAAATAGCTGTTTTGAAGAAACTCAATAAGCTACAAAAAAACTTGAAAAGAAAATTCATTGAAATCAGAGATAAAATATGTGAACAAAATGAATTCTTTACGAGATTGAAATTTTTAAAAAGAACCAAACAGAAATTCTAGAGCTGAAGAACTCAGTGAATGAGAAGAAGAATGCAATAGAGAGCATTGGTATCAGGGAAGACCAGATAGAAGAAAGAATAAATGACTTGGAGGATAAGAATTTTGAAATAACAGAAGAGAGGAAGAACAAAAATTTAAAAAGAGCAGAGAAAGCCCAGGTGAGCTGTGGTGTTCAATCAAAAGGCAAATATTAGAATAATCACATTCTGGAAGGAGAAAAAAGGGAAAATGGGGCAGAGAGTTTATTTAGAGAAATAATAGCTGAGAACTTCCCAAACCTGGGGAAAAACTTGGACATACAAGTTGATGAAGCTAATAGAGCACCCTGTTATCTCAATGCAAAGAGACTTTCTCCAAGATACATTATATTGAAACTATCAAAAATCAATAATATTAACTAGACTTATTGTGGTGGTCATTTTGCAATATAGACAAGTATCAAATCATTATGTTGTACATCTGAAACTAATATAATGTCAATTTTATCTCAATTAAAAAAATCAATAATAAAGAATCTTAAGGGCAGCAGGAAAAAAATGAATGTAACCTAAAAAGAAGCCCCATTTCAGCTATCAACAGATTTCTCAGCAGAAACTCTACAGGCCAGGAGAGAGTAGAATGACATATTCCAAGTGTTGAAAGATAAAACTTGCCAGGCAAGAATACTTTACCTGAAAAAGTTATTCACATATAAGGGAGGAATAGAGACTTTCCCAGACAAACAAAAGCTGAAGGAGTTCACCACCACTAGACCTGCCTTACAAGAAATGCAGAACAGAGTTCAAGATGAAATGATAAGATGCTAATCAGCAACATGAAAACATACAAATGTACACAACACATTGGTAAAGATGAAAAATATGTGGTCAGGCTTAGAAAACTCTAATTCTATAATAGGATAGTGTGTTAACCACTCAACTATAAAAGTTATAGGAAAAGAGTAGTAAAATAACTATAAATACTATAAATTATTAACAAATACACATATTAAAAAGAGGTAAATTGTTACATCAGTAATGTAAAAGGGAAAAGAAAAAGGGTGGAGCCTTTGTAGACAAACAAAGGTAAGTTGCTATAAGCCTAGAATGGATTGTTTTATCTGTAAGATGTTTTATGTAAGCTCCAAAGTAACCACAAAGCAAAAAGCTAGAGTAAATTCACAAAAGATAAAGAGAGGATAATCAGACCATACCACCATAGAAAATCACCAATTCACAAAGGTAGGCAGAAACAGAGGGAAAAAGAAACAATGGAACTACAAAACAGCCAGCAATTAAAAATATGGCATTAGTAAGTCCTTACATAGCAATAATTACTCTAAATGTAAATGGATTGAATCCACCAACCAAAAAGCGCAGAGTGGCTGCATGGATAAAAAACAAGATCCAACTATATGCTGCCTACAAGAGACACTTCAGCTTTAAGGACACAAATAGACTCAAAGTGAAGGGGTGGAAGAAAATATTTCATGTGAGTGGACACCAAAAGAAAGCAGGGATAGCTATGCTTATATCAGACAAAATAGATTTTAAGCCAAAAATGGTAACAAGAGACAAAGAAAGCCATTATATAACAATAAAGGGGTAAATTCATTAAGAAGATATAACAGTTGAAAACATATACAAACCCATCATTGGGGCACCCAAATATATTAAGCAAATACCAACAGATCTGAAGGGAGAAATAAACAACAATACAGTAAGAGTAGGGGATTTGAGTGCCCACTTTCAACAATGGATAAATCATCCAGACAGAAAATCAACAGGAAAACAATGGACTTGAACCATACATGAGACCAAATGGACCTAACAGACACCTGTAGAACATTCCATCCAACAGCAGCAGAATACAGTCATGCATCACTTAATAACAGGGATACGTCCCAAGAAATGCATGATTGGGCGATTTTGTCATGATGCAAACATAAAGGGGAACTGAAGGGGAACAAAATTTGCCATCCCAAAATATGTCTCTTTAACATGAGGATTAATTTAGGGTGACTGCTTTTAAGAAACAAAGATTCAGAAAGTTTTCCTTGTTTCCTCTCCCTTAACTGCCTAAAAGAATTCAGATTTTAAAAACCTGTTTTGGGGGCTGACCCCATGGCCAAGTGGTTAAGTTTGCGCACTCCACCTCAGTGGCCCAGGGTTTTGCCAGTTTGGATCCTGGGCACAGACATGGCACCGCTCACCAGGCCATATTGAGGTGGCATCCCACAAGCCACAACTAGAAGGACCCACAACTAAAATATACAACTATGTACTGGGGGGGAATAGGGGAGAAAAGGAAAAAAGAAAAGAAGAATATTGGCAACACTTGTTGGCTCAGGTGCCAATCTGAAAAAAAAACCTGTCTCAGGAAGCAAGCTGTCACCTTATCATGAACTAGGTGGTTGACAGGGAGGAACCTAGAAAAACCTGTTTGTTGGGCTCCCCTCTGTATTCTTCTGTTTCTGTGTGGCCAAACACTTGTTTTTAAAAGGTTTACTCCCTTTTCACCTACTTATGAATTGCCTTCCTTTCCTTTGAAGTCCCTGACTCTCTATACCAACATATTTTGTCTTTGTCTGAGGATGGTATTTAAGGTGAGGATTTGGCCATTTTGGCAAGTTACTCTGTTTGCCTGGGTTTCTCCCATGTATATATATACATGTTATTAAACTTTTGTTTGTTTTTCTCTTGTTAGTCTGTCTCATGTCAATTTAACTTTTAGACCAGCCAGATGAACCTAGAAGGGTAGAGGAAAATTTCTTCCTCCCTTACAGTACTGATATACATGGTATAGCCTACTACATATCTGGGCTATATGGTAGTAATCTTATGGGACCACCATCGTATATGTGGTCCATCATTGACCAAAATATTGTTATGTGGTGCGTGACTGTACACATTCTTCTCAAGTGCACACAGAATGCTCTCAAGGACAGATTATATTATTGAACACACAAAAAGTCTTAAAATTTAAC